CTGCACCCAGCTACCTTAAGGACCTTTTAAACCCTTATGCTCCTGCTAGGGCTTTAAGGTCATCGTCACAGTTACTGCTGGCTCAGCCCAGATCTCGACTTAAGACTAGAGGTGATCGATCGTTTGCTCTTGTCGCACCTGTGCTGTGGAACAATCTCCCGATTGGCATCCGGGCGTCTGATTCTATTCATTCTTTTAAATCTCAGCTTAAAACATATCTTTTTAAACTTGCCTTCTCCACCTTTTAATTGCTGGTTTGTTTGTTTGTTTGATTGGTTGCTGTGACCTATTGACCTCTTGTATTAATTCCCTCTTATCTTTCTATTGGTGTCTTTTATTATGGTGGTACAGCTTTTATCTTGCTATTACCATGTGCTGTAGTCATTCTTATTGGTAGCTTTTATCTATGAACAGAACTCGTTATTTTTATTTATCCGTTATCAATGGTTGAACCTTTTATTGTTTTATGTAAAGCACTTTGGTATGCCCAAGGCTTTTAAATGTGCTCTATAAATAAAGATTGTTGTTGTAGACAAGGCTGAGGGAGGGGCGGGGCCATCTGGGTGAGGGGAGGAAGACGTCTGCTTCCACATTCTTCATCCATGTTAGCTGCTGGCTTATGCAAATATAAAGTGCAACATAAAAAGCTGATTGCAGTGATTGAGACAGCAGGCAGGTCTTTCTTACTGTGTCTGATACAACAACACAACCTGTCAAATACAGACTCGTCTTCTATTTGTGAGAACTCCAGTTTCAGTGAAGGACAAACCAAAGATCACATCTAGTCTACAGACGATCCTAAAACATGGATTTTAGTCATTTCGAGCTCAAAGAGCGGGTGAGAAGCTGGAGTCGTTGGACTGTCCTGAGGATAACTAGCTGGGCGTGGATTTGTCTCAGGGTTGCTGTTCATGAGCTGACCACAGTGGGTGTTTGTATTTATGTGACCCTCTCAGCTCTTTGCTTCTGTGAACCTGTAATAAATAAGGGAACACATCTGTAATAAAGCCACATCTCTCTTTATTTGCAGTTAACGATCGTTTGTGAGCTAATACTGACCGCTGAACAGGATAAACAGGTGTGAACTATTTGATGTGAGAAATCTTAAATGCAGTCGTTTTATTCGTACAACAGCAGGAACCATTCCACAGAGCAGCGTCAGGTATTTCGTGTTTATTAGCGTTCACAGGTACCAGTCCACAGTGACCATAAACTTTCACGGTTTGGTGATTTAGTCCCACGCCTGGAGTCTAACAAATGCTCCCACTGCTTAAGGGACAATGCAGACCTGTACATGCAGAGATCTGAGTGCTGAGAGCCACAGAGCAGCACTGCTGTCATGTCTTTAGAGCAACACAAACCTATGCTTACACCGTGTCCGTGAATCATGAGCAGACTGAAAACGTCGGGCTGTCATCAGCTGGGACTGTGGGACAGACGAGCGCAGCAGCCAGTGTTGCTGATGTTTTCTGCAGGCGTGTTTGTGGCGCTGGGAACCAAAGGGTCGGCTAAGAGTCGCCGCCTGCTGGTTTGTCCTCGCAGATGACCGCCACAGAGTTGTTCAGAAGGTCGTACATGTTCACCTCCACCAGCTCTGCTGATGATTTCACCTCTCGCCCATCTGCCAGAGCTAGAAACACCTGCTGACCAACCCCCTGCTGCCTTGGCTCCTCAGACTCCGCCCCTTCCTGTCTGCTCCCTGTTGGATTGGCTGGTATCACCTGTGGGGTCAGACAGAGATAGTGTACGTTTTGTAAAGGTTAAACTGTTTCCAGCTTTTCTGCACGCAGTAAACCCACAACTTGTTTTAGTTGTGTACGTCTGAAGTGACAAACCAGCGCTCGTCTCACGCACACTCAGGAAAGGCTCTGAAAGCTGAAACCAAGCACACCGTTGTTGTTCTTGTGACATCACCAATAAGTCTGATGTGTCACATGACCCTCTTCCTACTGAAAAACTAAAGTTGTATCCAAGATGGCCGACTTCTAAACGGCCATGGTCACCGCCCACCTGGAGGAGTTTGCCCCTCACATGTACTAATGTGCCACAAACAGGCGTTACTATCACCAACCGTCCCCATGTTGTTACGCTGTATCCATAGAAACGGCCCCCCTGTACTCTGGGGCAGCAAGGGAAGTCTTTCACTGGTCTGTGGCACATTCTGGTCAGTGTGCAGGAAACACATGAAGTGAATGGAAAGCATCATATCAAACTTGTAACCAATCACAGTTTTGTGTTACTGTTGTTATTAATATTAGAAAGCTAAACACAGCACAGTGGAGCAGTGTGACTGCATGATCGGGTCATCCGTTCATCAGCCAGACAAACCTCAGCGCACATGGATCAACCAGTCGACTCATTGCTGCAGAAACATCGAGTCAGCATGTTTGTACACAGGAAGAGCAACAGAGTCCCGTTGCATGCAGGGAGGAGTTTCAGCTGGATCACGGCTGCTTGCGTATTTCAGGATGTCGTGTTGGGACCACACTGAGGCGGCAGTGACATCATGGCCCAGAGCGGCGCCCCGCTGTGTGTCTGAGGTAAAACGGCATTATTTGACTATCTCACTTGAGCCAAATGCAGCGATGTGGTTGGTCAGATACGCTGATTCAGCTTGGTTTGAAAAGTAAATGCTGCAAATCCTCCCAGGATGCACCTGAGCTGAACAAACTGTACTCCACCATCATCCTGATGAGCCTCAAAGCTCGACAAATACAGGACACACTTCACTCCACATGCTGTCAGCCAGGAACGGGACATTATTATTTCATCTTCATCTGTACGTCTGTGTGATGTGCTTGTTACCGTGTCGGAGGTGGAGGCCTGCTCTTCCTCCCGGCTCTCCTGCTCCTGCCGTGTCTCCACATGGCAGGAGAGCAGGTGCTCCTGCAGCTTAAGCTGAGAGGAGCAGAGCGTGGAGCAGCGGGAGCACCTGAATGCCTCGCTGCTGATATGCTGCGTGCAGATGTTCTCCTGCGTGTCCTCATCTCCACCCAGCACAGCCACAGAGCCTGCAGCACAGACACTCGGGGTCAGTGACAACAGCACAGGAGCTGCTGCTGTGATTCATTAAACCACCAGCTGCCTCTCTAAGACCTAACACAGGAAATCCCAACCATCCACTTACCCAGGTCACGGGGGACTGGAGCCAGGCCTGGGTGACACTGATGTCACAGTATTTCTTTGGCCATTTCACAGTACACCATAACCTCCACAAACAAGTGTTTATTCAACCACACAGGGCCTACAACCGCAGTGGTACACTCACTCGACCACGCCGTTATATGAACTGACGTGTGTTGTTTTAACCACCAGGTGCACACAGAGGTTTTCCACAGTGACTGTACTGTGACTCTGTGGGCAACACTGAGCTTTAACTACAATCACAGCAAGGATTCATGAGACCAAACTACTGAAATAATAAGGTGCTCTCTGTGCTCATAACATGAGATGACCTCAGGTACAGAAACCAGAGGTATGCGTGGAACAGTCACAGGTGTCACAGCTGGGGAGACGTTCACACGTTTAAAACACTGCATTTGTCCTGCAGAAAATGAGGAAACGTTCCGGTTGGGAGGGGGGAATAAATGATGCATTCACAGAGTGTGGGAGAAAATCAACTCGCAAATCAACTCGCATTGCATGCAGACAGCTTAATATTGCCATGGCAACTTCTACTCGATGGTTATGATCATTTTAACCATCGTACGTGGAAAGCATCGAGTATATCCGCCTCACTGCCCACCCCAGCTGTTCAGTCTAATTGTTGAATGTTGTCCTTGTGCTTCTTAAGTTTGTACGGTCTGAGTTCAAGCTGTAGGATCAAGACGTTCCTTTGTCCCGGAGCACCTCTCCAGCACTCTGTGCAGGGCAGGATGGTCACACCTCCCTGTGTGGTTCCTGCCCTCTGTATGACCTCA